TGCAAGATTCTTAGTAAGTGTCAGGGACAGCTGCTGACCTGGTGAGCTGGTCCCTGGACCACCTGGTTTCTGGAAGTGGGGCCATACACATAACTCCCCTCTCCTGGGGCCAGACCTGCACCTGCAATGTGCCCAGCCTGCAGGAAGCGGGGGACACTGGGCTTCCAAGAAGGCCGTTTAGACAACTCAGCCCAGGTCCTGGCTGGCTGTCCCTATCTCCCTGTAAGGTTTTAATCAGCCGGCTCATTGCACACAGGCTGGGCTGTAGACAGTGCAGTCAGAAGGTTCCAGAGAGCCACCAGGATGATATAAAGATGTGTCCACTCTACCTCTGTTTATGGGCTGTCTCTGCCACTGGGATGAAATCTCCAGGCCACCTGGGACTCTGGTCCGCTGCTCCAGCCTGAGCCCCGAGAGTCATGCCCAGCCTGCAGATGGCCCTAACGCTCTGGGTTCCTAATCTGGGAATGGGAAGCAGCAAAGGAGGAGGACCTTCAGAGTCAGGGCACCTGGAGTTGAGATCTGAATTTCCAACCTACTGACTGTAACGCTGGGGAAGTCCCCGCGCTCCGTGAGCCTCAGTCATCTTGTTGGTGAAGTAGAAATATGAAGCCCTGTCTCCATGCCACGGGAGCAGATAAGCTAATGTATACAAAGTAGCTCACACGAAAGAGCCACTCAATTCTCCCCTCCCGGTTTCAGGATAGGATAAATAGAACTACAGAGTAGGACCGATTTGTCCGCGGTGGAGAAAGCCTGGGAATAGTCTGCTCTTCGACTGGAAACTGCTGGAGCCCAGGGTCTAGCACAGGGCTGGGCACATAGGACAGACCCTGGAAATGTGGCGGGAGGCCAGAGACAGGCCCTCCAAGCTCAAGAGGAAAGGGACGTGCTCAAGGTTTCACAAAATGCTAGTTCCAGGTCTCCTTACTGAGTCCTGTGCTCTTTTTGCAAGGAAAGGCAGGTGCCTCCAAGGACAATGGATACAAATCCTGAGCCCTGATCACATGCCACAGCAGGAGGTGAATGGCCCTCCCCTTACTGGGTATTTCTAAGATCACCAGTCTAAAGAAGAGGGACAGATAGGATGGGGTCAGTATTTTTGTAGCCATCCCAATCTCCGTCTTCCCTGTTGCACGCAGGGCTCCTCTCTCCCCCTTGCTCAGCCCCACTTGCATTTGGAGGTCAGAAAAAGAAGAAGAAGAAGAAAGAGAAGGAGAAGGAGGAGGAGGAGAAGAAGAAGAAGAAGAAGAAGAAGAAGAAGAAGAAGAAGAAGAAGGAGAAGGAAGAAGAAGAAGGAGGAGGAGAAGAAGAAGAAGAAGAAGAAGAAGAAGAAGAAGAAGAAGAAGGAGAAGGAGAAGGAGAAGGAGAAGGAGAAGGAGAAGGAGAAGGAGAAGGAGAAGGAGGAGAAGGAGAAGGAGAAGAAGGAGAAGGAGAAGGAGAAGAAGAAGAAGAAGAAGAAGAAGAAGAAGAAGAAGAAGGAGAAGAAGAAGAAGAAGAAGAAGAAGAAGAAAGAAGAAGAAGAGGGAGGAGGAGAAGAAGAAGAAGTAGTAGTAGTAGTAGAAATAGTGAGCAGTTGGTTTTGGTCAGTCTGTGGGCGGAAAGCAGGCTGCACTTGGGGCCACCCGAATGAGGGCTCTTGATGTAACTCCCCACCTTCTTGATGGGCATCTTCTTGCAACTCACTGGATTTCTCAGGCCTTAGTATCCTCATCCATAAAGAGGGAGAATGGTTGGAAAATTCAGGAGGACTACTGGGCATGCCAACTCACCGTCACCTATAGCGAGCCATTTAGTATCATTACATGACAAAGCACAGAAGATGGGCAATGAGCAGTGTCTCCTTCCTTCTCCAACCGTGTGCCCTGAATGCCCCCATTTGGTCTGGAGCTGCTCTATGAATGGACCAGGTGGCTGCTCAGAGCTGGGGCATCTTTACACCTGCAGTGGGTGGAGACTGAGACAGAGGTGACGTGATGTTTTAGAGATTCTCACACTAGTCATCAATCAACCCACTGGTCTGGGGGAGGAATGGAGAGCTTAAGTTCAAAGGGAAGGACCAAACGTTCTGCCTCCTGTTAAAACTCCATATGCTGATGGCAGAGACTAGATGCCTTATTAACCTTGGGGGTGGGGTACCCCAATGTTCAAAAGGTAAAACTCTGCTTTTCTCCAGATCATGAGTGTCATTAAGCAATCACGTTGCTGAATGAAGGAGTGAATACTGAAAAGGTGTTTGTGCCGCTGAGATCCCTTATGATGACTACTCCTGCCTGATGTGTGCTCAGTGCTTGGGGATTTTCAACGTACCCTATGACTTCGGCCAAGTTGCTTAACCTCTCTGAGCCTCAGTTTCCTGGAGATAGCCTCTTTGTCGGGATTATCTTACAGATTATGGGAGATAATTCTCCTAGTCAGCGCTCAATTAAAGGTGACTATTCTCACTCCTGGTTCATTTGACTTTTGCCCTCAGGGAGGGCAAAGGATGGACAAAGTCCCAGAGCCATTTAGTAGCAGAAGCAAGACTAGAATCCAAATGTCTTGAGCCCTTAGGATGGTCTTAGGATGTACATTTCCTGCAAGGGGGCTTTCAGTTATTCACATGAAATAGCTCAGGGCTATTTAAAAGACTTCTCCTTTGAGACTGATAGAATTTTATTAACAGAACTTCACTTGAAACATGTTTTTGTTGCTGCTGCTGTTAGTTTGCTTTTTGGGAAAGGATGAGAGAAGCGGGTAAGCTGAGCATTTCGATCAGATCTTCACGTGAAAGACGCCAGCCCCTCACATTCTGGGCTCTGCAATAACTCGTCTGCACAGCAGGTTTCATGGTGAACCGGCAGGCCCTTCTGCATCTGACCTGTCTGTCTCTGTCCCTCAGACCACAAACACCCGGGCTGCTGAGATCCTCGGTGTGTGCAGCTGAGCTCCACGTTAGCATCAGGTAGCTTCCTGAGGCCGCAGAGATGTAACGACCACGAAAATCCAGCTGTGCTCAAACCAAGAAGTGCCCTCACTGTGGGCCGATGGTAAAAACAGCACCCAGCTTGGCCAGACTCCGCGCAGGCCCAGCAGGCCAGCCAGAGGAGCGGGCTCCTTCCATGTCATTCCCTTCAGAGACCACATGCATCTTCCAAGAAGACACATGTGCTTTTTACTGCAAAGGAGACTCAGCTGGGAGAGTTGCTTTTGGAGGCTGAGGCATATTTTTTTGGATCCCCTCAACTGGGGCAAATCCTCGGTCTTCTAGGACAACTTAGAATTTTGGAAACAGGTAACTCAGAGCTAAGGGCAGAGAACACGGTGTGCCACGGAGGAAGGAGAAGGACTGATTTTGATCAAGTCCAAGGTGTGACTCTAAAGCAATAAATGTGAAAACCTGTCCGGCATTGAGGTCTACACTGATCAAAACCAAAGCAGTTACTTGCCAGTCACACTCTTTTAAAGGGTGTTGGTGGGGCTCAGGAGGAAAAGGGGAAGAGGACCCTTGCAACTACAACCCACCCATTCCTCCTAGGAGCAAAACCCAGTGTGAAACAGAGGAGAAATTGCAAGTCACGCCCAAATGAATCTGGACTCTGGATGCATCACCAAGAGGTTTTCCTTCACTGACTCAGTTGTTGACCATAAAAGAGAAGCAAGAAATCTAAAGGGTAGGGGCGCCTGGGTGGCTCAGTCATTAAGCGTCTGCCTTCAGCTCAGGTCATGGTCCCAGGGTCCTGGGATCGAGCCCCGCATCGGGGTCCCTGCTCCGCGGGAAGCCTGCTTCTCCCTCTCCCCCTCCCCTGCTTGTGTTCCTGCTCTCTCTGTGTCTCTCTCTGTCAAATAAAGAAATAAAATCTTAAGAAAAAAGAAATCGAAAGGGTAATTGAGCTGGAGGTTAGAGATTGCCTTCTACGAGATGCCTGTATGAAGGGCTGGCAATGTGGAGGACAGGCGGCTGGCCAAGTGATGGTTCCATGTCTGCCATCCCATCTGACTGCCATCTCTGTGAGCGGAGATTTACAGTCTGTAAATGTCTATGTACTCAACTGGATACCTCATTCTCAATACACTGTTGGTGGCAGACAGTGAGGAGAAACAGAGAAGCAAGATTTCAACAATCTCCCCCCACACCTGTGCACTTACTGAAAGTGGATCGCCCTCGGAATGGGAGAGGCCAGCCCTCTAGTTATGTGAAATGACATTACCTCAGAGCCCCGAGCTCCCAGTTCTCTGAACAGGAAGGAAGCAGACCCACGGCTCTATAAGAGCCATTTCCTCTCTGCTGTATTAATTTCAGAGATTAAGTAAGCCACTCCTCTGTGGACCCAATACACTGAGATAACAGCCATTGTGTTTGCTGCGACTCCTACTAACGGAGCTAATCTTGGTAGACTGGTGATGTTGCAGGCTTTTAATGTCAAATTCAACTAACCAGCGGCTCTCATGGTCCCATCTATTGTCCTGGCTCCTAGAACTACTGCTGGAAGCCCTAGCCCTTAGTTTCAGACACATAGATGAGGTCTGGGTTCCAAGGAAGGAAAGGAGAAATTTGTCAAGTGGGTTTTTTAAAAGAACACCAGAGCCAGAGAGTTTGAATGGGAATCTCTTTCTGTGCCCTACTCACTGGCTTCCTGTTCTCGGTGGTACCAGGAAGCGAATGCAATATATCTCGTGTCTGTCAGTTCCACATTCCTGGTTTCTGTTGAGAGAAAAAGAAGGCTTTTCTTCCCTTGCACTCGTCCTTTCTTTCTACTTGAAGGGGTGCAGTGCAGAGATCACTAGACTGGGAATCGGGATGCATCCTTGCACTGTATTTCCTGCTCTTCCAGAAATTCGTAAGGGGCAAGGTCAGCTCATCTCCTACATCTTTTCTAGGTCAGATTCTAGTTCCTTACATTTTGGGTTGGTTCCCTGCCAACAAGTTTGCATAGAGAATTTCAATAACACATCTCATGTTCAAGTTTAAGATTAGAAGCATTCAACACCCCCCTCCCCCCAATAGCCCATTGTCTGACCGATTCCTGGAGCTTTCTGGGCTCCTGACGATTTCCCACCATGGCGAAATGGGGAACCATGCTCTTGATTACAAGCCGACTTTTCCAGTCATCCATTGTTTGACCTGCAATTTTATTCTTGACTCTCCAAGGCGCTTCCCAAACGACCTAGACACAGGGCTTAGGGAGACAAAAAGTACACTGTCTTTCAGATATGAAGATGAGACCATTGACCCCGTGAATCACAGACTTTCACTCTGAGGACAGGTTTGTTTGGAGTCAGCCCCATTCCCTTTCATGTCTCTCTCCCCACCCCACCACCCTCATTGAACCCCTTCCCACCCCCAGGGATGAGGGGCACTTCTGTGAAGCCGTTGGCTGGGATGAGATGGCAGTCCCTGGCCATGGCCTAGAGCAGAATTCACTGGAGAGTGGAAGGATGGGTGGAGAAGCAGCCTGACGTAACTAAAATAACACTAGGCTTAAAGGCAAGGAATGGGGATCTTAGGTCTGGCTTTTTTTTTTTTTTTAAAGATTTTTTATTTATTTGACAGAGAGAGAGACAGTGAGAGAGGGAACACAAGTAGGGGGAGAGGGAGAGGGAGAAGCAGGCTTCCCGTCGATCAGGGAGCCCGATGCGGGGCTCGATTCCAGGACCCCGGGATCGTGACCTGAGCCGAAGGCAGACGCTTAACGACTGAGCCACCCAGGTGCCCCAGGTCTGGCTTTTTGTGCATGTGGTATGCAGTGAGATCTGGGGAAGACTCTTCTGTTCTCTGACATAATTTTCTTATGTGCAAATCATGGTGGTTGGATCAGGTAATGGCTTAAGGCCCCTACGGCTCTAGTAGAGTAAGCCTTATGGCCCACTGAAGGAGAAGCTCCCAACTCTGCTCCCATTAGCACCCAGCCAAGTAAGCTGACTAACAGTTTATAACCTGACAGTCAGTGGAAGGAAGCAATGGGTGTTGGAAGGGGCTCATGAAACCCTGGTGTACTGGTTTACACAAAACTAACCAGGCAGATGGTGATCATGTCTACCCCAGTGTATGCCCTCCATGACAGATAAGCAGACCTGTGTTAAACCAAGTAAAGCTTTTTTTTTTTCATTTTATTTTGTTTCATTTCTTTTTGTCTTTCGTGATGTAGACATGAATTAAGAGCTCTGTTAAGGCATTCATATGTGAGGGAAGCTCTTCTTCTTGGAAATCCCCTTGGCAGTACAGAATCGGGCACAAAAATGTCAATGTCCAGACTTCTGCCTCTGGGAAAATGGAAACGTACCCTTCCCATTTTCCCACTGAGTACAACTAAAACCTCTGGACATTATATATAAAATCAACATAAGAAGACCCTGAAGAGTGGAGAGAAGAAGGGACCTTGGGACCTGAGGAACAATGTGGTGGTGAGTTCTCTGGGTTTTTGCCTCATAGATCTCAGACACGGACCTGAGGAAGCTGGCAACCCCAAAATGCTAATGGACACTGACGAAAAGTTCCCGACAAAAGCCTACTCTCTTTAGCTAAAGGGCCAGGAAAGGGGCAGCCCACCAAAACAGAAAACTGTTATACAAGAACTGCTCTAATTCAGCTAAACACCACAGGAAAAACTGTGGTCCCATCAAGTCCCAACATCAGAGGCCAAGTGGGGGCCTAGACTCCACCCCCACTCAGCAGCAATGATTTATTTCTCCCTGTCCCCCCTAGGGTGGTATCAGAGGAGGCCTAAGAGAGACTCGGGACCTTTGCTCCACACAGTGGTAATGAGTCCGCATCCCATCAATGTCAGTGGAGATCACATGGGGAACATCAATGAGGCACTCCTACCGATCCCAGCCAGGATGGTATCAGTGAAAGCCTAGTAGGGAGCTAGAACTATCACTACTACCCAGGAGTTATGAGGCACCCCAACCTCCTCAGTGTCAATGAAGGCTAAGCGGGGAACCTGGCAGAAATGAGATGGTGCCCCGTTCCCTGCCAAAGCATTGTCAGAGGAAGTCAGCTAAAACCGAAGATCTAAATAAGTGCTGAAATAAGAGAACTGTCAACCCAGAATCTTGTACCCAGTGAAAATATGCTTCAGGTATGAAAGGGCAATCAAGATATTCTGAGATAAAGGAAAGCTAAAAGCGTTTGTTAGTAACAGACCATTCCTAGGAGGATGGATAAAGGATGTTCTCTGATCAGAAAGGAAGCGATCAAAGAAGGAATTTTGGACACCACCAAGGAAGAATGAACAATGGAAAGAAAAAAATATGGGTAAATATAATAGACTTTCCTTCTCTCAAGTTTTCTAAATTATGTCTGATGGTTGAAGCACCAATTATAACATTGCATGTTATGGTTCTAAATGTTACGTGGAAGAAATATTTAACACAATTACATTATAAACAGGGGAGGGTAGAGAGGTGGAAAGAGAAGTAAGGTTTCCATACTTCACTCAAACTGGTAAAATATTGACATCAGTTATTACATAACTGCCCACATCGGGCTCCCTGCTCCACGGGAAGCCTGCTTCTCCCTCTCCCGCTCCCCCTGCTTGTGTTCCCTCTCTCGCTGTGTGTCTCTCTGTCAAATAAATAAATAAAATCTTTAAAAAAAAAAAGATGCATGCGAAGACACTATACACAAATCATCAAATGGAATTTCAAAAAATGTTCAAGTAACCTATAGGAAGTTAGGACAAAGAAAATAAAGAAACAAAACCAGAACAAACAAAATAAAAATAAATTGGTAGACTTAAGCATTAACTACCAGTAAGTTCATTAAAATGAAAATGATCCAGGGGCGCCTGGGTGGCTCAGTTGTTTAAGCGTCTGACTTGGGCTCAGGTCATGTCTCAGGGTCCTGGGATCAAGCCCTGCATTGGAATCCCTGCTCAGCAGGGAGCCTGCTTGTCCCTCTCCCTTTGCCCCTCCCCCCACTTGTGCGCACGCTCTCTCTCTCTCTCTCTCTCAAATAAACAAAATATTTTTTAAAAATGAAAATGATCTAAATCTACCAATTACAAGACAGACATTGGCAGAGTGAAAAAACAACATGATGAAACTACATGCTGTCTATGAGATGCTCATTTCAGAGCAGGTTGAAAGTAAAAGGTGAAAAAAGATAAATCATGCAAATGTTAATAAAAAAATAGTAATGGGGTAGCTCTGGTATTAGCAGATAAAGTAAACTTCAGAACAAAGAAAATTACCAGAGACAGAGAGGGGCATTACATAATGATAAAAGGGTCAATCCACCAAGAAGACATAGTAATCCTAATTGTGCACACACCAAACAACAGAACTACATGACATATGAAGCAAAAATCAAAAGAACTGAAAGGAGAAATAGAAAAATTCTCATTTATAGTGGAGATTTCAACTTCCTCTCTCAACAACTGATAGAACTAGACAGAAAATCAGTACAAAGAATTCAACAACATCATCATCTAACAGGACCTAATTGACATTTATGGAACCCTCCACCAAAAAACAGTAAAATTTACATTCTTTTCAAGCACCCAAAGAATATATACCAAGATAGACATAATCTGGACAACAAAACAATACACAGACATTTAAAGAATTGAGATAATACATGGTGCTTTCTCTGACTATAATGGGATCAAATTAGGAACCAACAACAGAAAGACAATAGGAAAAACTTTAAACTAAACTAAACAACACACTAAAAAAATTTATGAGTCAAAGAGGAGGTCTCAAGAGAAACTTTAAAAATACATTGAACTGGGGTGCCTGGGTGGCTCAGTTGGTTAAGCGTCTGAAGTCTCAATCTCAGCTCAGGTCTTGATCTCAGGGTCGTTTGTTCAAGGCCCATGTTGGGCATGGAGACTACTTTATAAATATACATTGAACTGAATGAAAACAGGAATACAATATATCAAAATTTGTAGGACACAGGTAAAGCTAGAGGGAAATTTACAGTACTAAATTCTTACAAGAGAGAAATGCGGGAGAAGTCTAAAAACAATACGTTTCCAAATAAGATACCAAGAAAAAGAAGAGCAAAATAAACCTAAAACAAACAGAAGGAAGGGAATATAAAGAACAGATACAGATATTAAAATTATATTGAAGACAGAAAAAAAATGAAGCCCAACGGGGAAAAGGTGGTTCTTAGAAAAAAAATATGTAATTCACAAGCATCTAGAAAGACTAACAAAAGGAAAAGAGGGAAAACACAAATTACCAATACTGGAATGAAAAAGGGAATATTACTACTGATTCTGTAGACATGTAAAGAATAATAAGGAAATACTAAAAGCATCTCTACCCATGCAAATTTGGAAATTAGATGAAATGGGCCAATTATTCTAAAAGCACAAACTACCAAAATTTACCAAAATAATTATTAAAGGAATTAAATTCATAATTAAAAAAAAAAACTCCAGAAAATGAAAACTCCAGGCTCAGACAGTTTCACTAGAATTATACCAGTTGTTTAAAGAAGAATTAGCACCAATTCTACATAATCTCTTCAGAAAATAGAAGAGGAGGGGACACTTCCCAACTCACTGTGTTACCCTGACAGCAAAGATGAAGAATGTACAAAGAAGACTACAGACTAATATTTCTCATGCACAGAAACACAAAAATCCGTAACAAAGTTTTGGCAGTTTATAAGAAGAATTATATACTATGTATCAAGTCAGGTTTAGTCTAGGGATGCAAGGCCCACATTATCTACCATATTAACAAGCAAAATAGTAAAAATCATATGATGACCTCAAAACAATATTGAAAAAGAACAAAGTTGAAGGGGTCACACTTTCCAATTTTAAAACTTACTACAAAACAACAGTAATCAAAACAGTGTGCTGTTGGCATAAGGACAGACATATATGCCAATGGAATAGACTTAAGAATCCCGAAATAAACCCATAAATCTACAGCCAATTGATTTTCAAAAAGGGTGTCAAGATTATTCAGTGGAGGAAAGAATAGTCTCTTTAACAAATGATGCTGGGATAAATGGATAGTCACATGCAAAAGAATGAAGTCGGACCCCCTACATCACACCATATACAAAAATCAACTCAAAATGGATCAACCTAAACACAGGACCTAAAACTATAAAACATGTAGAAGAAAACATAAGGGGAAATCTTTATAACATTGGATTTGGCAAAGGATTCTTAGATATGACACCAAAAGCATGAGCAACAACAACAACAAA